GTCCCCCGCCCCGGCTGGACTGGGCCCTCGAGGCCCACTCTGACCTTGGCGGGGTCCAACGCGCGGGTGGGCATGGGGACGCCGCTGAAGACCTCCCAGACCGTGGCTCCAAAGCCCCACTTGTCCGCCTCCAGGCCGAGCGTCCGGGCCTCGTCCAGGCACTCTGGGGCCACCCAGGGGATCCTGTCGGTCAGCACTGAGGGACAGGGACGGGTCAGGCGAACGGCAGAGGCCTCTGTCCTCGCGGTGGCTCGGCGTGGGGCAGTGGCAGCCAGGGTTTGATGAGTGGCTAGTCCGGCAAACTCCTATACACCCTGCAAAGTCCACCCCCAGACACTCACTGTCCAGGCTTAGCACAGTAGGGCTGACGCCAGGGTCACTGAGCTTGATAAACGGTGGGCTTCCATCAGCTCCCTCCCGTGCCAGCAGCACCTTCCGGGCTGAGACGTTGCCATGAGGAAGGCCTTTGTCTTCCTACGGGAAGGGCCAGGGGGCACTTGGTGTTAGAGCTGACGTCTAGCAAACTCCTACACACCCCTCAAAGTCCACCTGGTACTGCCCAGAAGTACTCCAGCCCTTCCCCGGCATCCTGTTTCACCTGTGCTCTCCTGGCTTTGTCCTTTCCCTTCTCCAGGGCAGCCCACCCCTCTATGGCTTCCCACTGCCTATGGGTCAAAATCGAAGCTTCTGAGCTTCCCGTTCAAGGGCTCTGCTCACACTTCTCATGAGGTTTTACAGCCCCACCCTGGACTCCTGCCAACCAAGCTGTCTGTCGGGCTTAGGATGTGCAGCACACTTTCCAGCCTGTGGCTTCTGCCTTGGCTGTTCCTCAGTCCTCTTGATGAACTCCTACTCAAATGTCAAAGCCCCAGCTCCAGTGTGCGTGCTCACCAAATAGTTGAGGGCGCAGGCCAGCTGCTTGGTCACCTGCAGCTTCCAGCTGGCGGGCACAAGGTGGCGGTGCTTGAGCAGGTAGGTGTCAATGGCGCCCAGGGGTACAAGCTCCTGCACCATGGTGCCTGGCACGGGAGGGAGTCTCAGCCCCCACAGTGACCGTCCCCTCCCCACACCCTCCCCATCCCCAGGTGGATAAAGGCACCTTGTGTTTAACTCACGTTAAACAACTGAGAGCTAAAGTGATGGAACCAAGACTCAGAGAGGTCGTGTGGCCCGCGCCAAGATGCCCAGGAACTGACACACAGGTGGGCCTGAGATGTGGCTGGCACTGCCCACCTTCCACATCCTCAACCCAGTGCTCCCCCTCTGGGGAAGACTTTCAAGCCTCCAGATGGGATCAGGGATGTACAACACACTTTCTAGAGTGCTGGCCTTGCTCAGGGTGTTTCTCATCTTGATGAACTCCTACTCAAACATCAAGGCCCTAATTCCAATGTTCCCTCCTTGGGGGAAGTTTGCCCTGCTCAGTCTTCCCTCGCTCCTCACCCTGACATCCACAGCTGACTACTTAACCCCTGCCAGTGGTCTCATACCTTGAAGCCTGTATGTGCTGTTTCTTCAGTCCAAAACAACCTCCTTTCACCCTTACCAAACTCTATGCATGCTACAGACCCCACCGTTCCTTACCCACCCCACAGAGGAAGCCACCTCTGGGAATGGACACAGCCACTGGGAGGTGGAAGGGGCAGCCAGAGGTCAGGGGAGGTAGGGGTAGGGCGCAGGGATCTCACTGTCTCCAGCCATGCACACGCCATGCAGCAACACGAGATGCGGGTAGGACACTTGGCTCATCAAACTGGCTGCTTCCAGGAAGGACTGGGGAGGGGGAGGGGGAAGATGTGTGCATCCCAAGAGGCCACACGGCCCTGACCCAGTGTCCCTCACAGATGACCCAGGGCCTTTGCATTGAGCTACAAGCGCTTTTATTTTGAGACAGGGTCTAAATTACCTGCAAGGCTGGGCTCTAACTGGAGACCCTCCCGCCTCAGCCTCCCAGGTGCTGGAACTACAGGCGCGCCACGGTGCCGGGCTCTGTCTCCTCTCGAGCTCTTCACGCCCCCGCCCGGCCCGTCCTCACCTCCACGCAGTTCCTGTGCTCGGCGTCCAGCACCTTCAGCAGCACCTCGGTCTCGCGGGCTTCCCCGTCCACGCTCTCACGGCGACAGCCGCGGTAAATCTTGGTGAAGGACCCGTGGCCCAAGTTCTCGTGCTGCCGGGCAGGACAGCAGGGGCAGCCGGTGAGAGGCAGGGGAACAGAGGCCTGGGGAGGCACCGCGCAGGCCCCGCCCCGGCTGGCCATACCCGCTGCAGGCTTGGCGGGGGGATCTTGTGGAAGGTCAGCTGGCTCAGCACCGGGGGCTGCGCGGGGGCTGCAGGGGCCGGGCCACACCCTCTCCGCACCACCATCAGGTTGGACTTCTCTGGGGCACAGAGTGGAGGGGAAGCAGAGGTCAGAGGCAAAGGGTCCCAGGGGGTTCATGTGCTCCCTGAGTTAGCTTGGGGACCCCAGAAGTTGACCCTGAACTACAGGCTCCAGGGAGCCATCCCTTCCAACAGTGAAATCCTCCCAGCTTTGCCTGGATCAAGCCGCACCTGAAGGGTGAAACCCACCCTTGAGCCCATCACATTTTCTCCCCCTAAACCACCTCGACCCGCAGTTTCTGTCCCTCACCATCACCCAGGAGTCGTCACAGACGCGGAAAATCAGGGGCCGAACCTTTGGGTGTGGGGGCGCAGCAGGTGGTGAGGCTCAGGGCCACGCCGTCCACACGCAGTACGCCCTCGCGGCAGGCAACCAGGAGCTCCCTGAGGCTGCCGTGAGGCCGGCTGAGGCCGACCAGGCAGAAGCTCCCAGTGGGGTCCCGGCGGATGAGGCAGCCCTTGTAGTCAGGGCCTATGGGTGTCTGCAAGGGAGGGGCCCCTAAGTGGTGGGTTGGGCTTGCATCTGAGACCCTCCTGCCTCAGCCTCCTGCGATTCCAGGCGTGTGACATCACTCTGGACTTGAGGACTCCAGGAGGTCCACCCCACCCCCTGACCCCGGAGGAGAACCAACTTGGACACAGGCCGTGAGCAGAAAGCCGTCAAAGTCCTGCGGGCTGCGGCGGAGCACGTAGGAGCCCGGGACTGAGCCCCGGGCCTTCAGCTTGTGGATGGCGAAGTCCAGGCTGTGGGGAAGGCGAGATGGAAGGGAGAGCAGAGAGAGAGAGGGAGGTGGAGGCAGACAGGCAAGGTCGGGCCTCGATCTGCGTTCTGGTCCCTCTACCGCCTGGGATCCGCCTGCCTCAGCCTCCCCCGTCCCGGCGGCGATCTGAGTTCCTGACCCCTGACCCAGGCTCCGGTCCTTACGTGATGGGGCCGTGGCAGTCCTCGGCCACCTCCTCCAGCAGCCGCGGTGGCGCCACCTCCTTGCAGAAGAAGTGTCGCGGGTCGCACGTCAGGCGGAAGTAGCCGTCCACGAGCGCCACGAAGGACAGCGCGGCGGGCAGCGCCGGGAACTCGGCCTCCTGCGGGGACGCGGTCAGCGTGCGCAAGTCTTTGTAGATAGGGAGTGGTAGAGGATTTGAAGGGAGAACAGGGGAATGAGGAAAAATTAAGAACAAAGATGGATTTTGTAAAGGTGCAAATTTCCAAGATGAATGTCATTATAATTTAAAAAGGCAATAAATACTGTCTACAGTTGGCAATACATAAAAATACAAATATTAATATTAGAATAATTGCAATAAGTGAAAAATGAGATGATGACACAAATGGCATAAAAGGCCTGTTCACAGAGAGAGTGACAGAAAACCAAATATAGGGAAATAAATGAACACACAGATAAGTGAGGCTTACAGAACCCCAAACAGACATGACCAAAAAAGAGGTCTTTCTGCATGACATTATACTCAAAATTTCAGAAGTCAATCACAGGGACTAAAACATAAAAGCTGCAAGAGAAAGAAAAAATTCCAGAAAGGGATAAACTGATAAAGATCATAGCAGATGTCTCTCTCCAAACTTTAATGGCTACTAGTACTTGGAGTGAACTGCTGCAAACCTTAAAACATAACAATTTGTAGCTCTGGTTATCTATCCAGCAAAAATTTCCTTTAAAGTTGAGGGACAAATAAGTCATTTCCCTGACAAGAGGTACCACAAGAAATTGTGACCATCAAGCCAGCATTACAAAAGCTTGTTAAGCATATCCTAGAAAGAGACTATGAATCTAGCAATGCCAACAAAGCAAAAAGAATAAATACAACTAGCAGGATGAGGAGCTAGCCAAAAAGGGGGGAAAAAATTAGAAATCAGCCACAGGAAAATAAAGTAAGGACTGGAATAAGTCAACACCTCTCTATAATAACTCACAATGAATGAGCTCATTTCTCCCTTTAAAAGATAGACTGGCAGAATGGATCAAAAAACAAAACCCTTGGGACTGTGGATGTAGTGCAGTGGCCCTGCACCTGCTTGACAAGTGCAAGGATCTAAATCCAATCCCTGGTACGAGAAAAACAAAACAAAAAAACAACAACAACAGCAATATGCAGCATAAAATGAATACATGTAATTAAAAAAATACTCACAAACTAAAAATCAATGAATGGAAAACAATATTTTACACAACAGGAACTGGGCAAAATGCAGGAGTTGCTATCCTAATTTCAAACACAGTTGATTTCAAGCCAATACTGATCAGAAGAGATAAAGGAACAGTTTAACAGGAAGAGTTAACAATTATAAATATATACACATGGAGTACTGATGCATCCAACTTCATACAATAGAGATGGGGTTTTAGCTCAGTGGTTCTGTTGCCTGCCTTGCAAATGCAAGGTCCTGAAGGAGCCCCGCCCAGCCGTGAGGCCCGCTGTTACCCTGCCGACCCTCACCTGGAAGAAGAGGTGCTCCAGGACGGGCAGGTCAACGATGGCGCTGGCCAGGTCCTTGCGGAGCCCGAAGCGGTGGCATTTCTCCAGCCCGAACCAGCTGGGGAAGTAAAACCTGGGGCGAGGGCGGGGAGGAGCCCTGGGGTGAGGATGGCACTGCCACGGCTTGCTGTGTGACCCGTGGAAAGTGATCCACCCTCTCGGCCTCAGTATCCCCATCTGTTTAATGGGCGTTGAGAATGCTGTCGAGGTGCAGGGACGGGATAATGTGGGGTGATCCCCTGGAGGGGCGGGTACTTCCTACCGGAGCCTGTAGACCAAGATTTGGGTGCCCACGTCCTCCACAGAAAAGATGTGGCTTGGGGGGAACCAGCAAGACAGGTCCTCTGTGGCCAGTGCGAAGAGAGAGTGGTACACGGGCAGGATACCTACCGAGATGGCCCATCCACGATATGTACTCCTAGGCCTCAACTCCCCACCTTCCTCCTAAGCAAACTCCTACACATCCCTCAAAGCCCCAGTTGCAATGGCAACTCCTGCAGACATCTATTCCCACTCCCAAACTGGTCCCCCCCCCACAGTCCCGTGTTTCCCTCTGGCCGAGTCCTTAGGGATCTACTGACCACTGGCCTTGGCGGCTTGCACACACAGCTCCTCAGCTGAATGGTCCCCGAAGGAGAAAGACAGGCACTGAGGGGGGCCAGGGCCCCGAGGAGGCAGCAGCACATGCAGAGCCCCGGCCTCTGAGGATGAGAGGCTGCAGGAGCGCTGAGAGATCAGGGGCGTCTCCTCACTTGGGGGCGCCATGACTGCAACCTGCGGGGACCCAGAGAGAGACAGATGGGGACAAGCAGGAGGGCCTGAGTGCACAGGGAAAGTGAGGCACCCTGGTCCCCAGGTTCCTGACGGTATCAGGGCAGACATCACCAGCTGACCACAGCTCTGGTCTGCCTGATACCTCCACATCTCCCTGGCAACCAGCCCATCCCACCCAGGGCAGGAATGAGCAGTCGATCACAGGTGCACCGATTTGCCTGACCAAGAACTGAAAAGCTGGGTGCTGGCTTGTGCTTGGGGAGGTTTAGGGATGGGGCGGGAGTGGACATCGTTCCCCCTGGCCCATCTGGGGCCATTTGGGGAGAGTCTGGTTGGATGACTCAGCCTTGGCAACTTAGGGAGACCCTGTCTCAAAGTAAAAAATAAATACGGCTAATTCGAGGCCCCGAGTTCAATCCCCAGTATGGTAAAACAAAATTTATTTTGTTTTGTTTTTGTTGTTTGTTTTTTTGTTTTTGGTTTTTTGTGGGGTTTTTTGTTTGGTTTTTGGTTTTTTGAGACAGGGTCTCACTATGCAGTTGAGTCTGACCTGGAATTCACTATGTAGCCCAGGCTGGACTCGAACTCACAGTGGTCCTCCTGCCTCAGCCTCCCGAGTGCTGGGATTACAGGTGCGCGCCACCACACCCGGTGGTAAAACAAAATTTAAAACCTATGTTCCAGGCCAGGGATTTAGCTCAGTGGTTCTGCCACATGCCTCAAAAGCGCAACGACCCGTGTTCGATCCCTGATACAAAACTACAAACAAATTATGTTCCAAAGTACCCAACACACACACTGGGTTGGGGTGAGACACAGTATTTTTGTTTTGTTTTTTTGAGACAGGTTCTCACTCTGTAGTTGAGAATGGCCTTGAATTCAATATGTAGCCCAAACTGGGCTTGAACTTGTGATCATCCTGCCTCAGCCTCCCGAGTGCTGGGATGACAAGGGCGCCACCACACCCAGTTTGAGACACAGGATTAATGTTTAAGGAAGCCGGCAGGATAGCTTCCTGCTGGTGGTAGGTGAAAAACCTCAAACTCTGGGTTCAAATCCCACCCCACCAATTCCCAGAGGCATGCCCCTCCAGCCCCAGGACCCGCTTCTGTAACTGTGCAGTGGGGCTGACTCCCCTCCCTTGCAGGAAGGTGGCTGCCTGTACACAACCCGGGCTCGAAGTATCACCACAGTTAATCAGCATGAACCCTCAGCCAGGATGCAGTAAATGCCTGTTAACCAGACAGGAAGGACATCGGAGCGGGGGCACCCAGAGAACCCAGGAGCTCTGTCATCGGGCCACGCCCCCAGCACTTTTTAGGTTCCAGTATAGATCTCAGTACATGGCCCAGGCTGGGCTTGTAATTGTGATCCTCCTGCCTCAGCCTCCTGAGTATCTGGGATTATAGGTATGCCCAGCGATAAACACAATTGTTATTTCTGTTAATGGTGCAGAGAAGAAAGAAAAAGTCCCCGGCGCTCTGCTCCAGCCCAGGATCCTAGGTGGGGGCTGGGCACTGCGTCCCAGGAGACTGGTCCGAGTGCACGGGCTGGGATCCCGGGTTCCTGGTGGGGGGCTCAGAACCAAGAGCCAGAGAAGGGCTGAGGGACCCCAGGACCCTCCAGCCACCCTGTGTCCCCTGGCGCCCAGGGCCTGGCCAGACTCGCGGGACCCCCCAGCAGCTCTTACCTAGCGTGCAGGGACTCTGGGCCGAAGACAGGAAGGCAGGCTGGGAGGCAGCGGCAGGAAAGTCCCGCTGCCGCCTTCCTGTGTGGGCCCCTCGACTTCCTGAGCTCAGTCATTTACGGAAAGTCAGGCCCGCGAGGGGGTGGAAGGCGACAGGGCCCAGGCGGGGAGGGGCGGCTCGGACAAGGGACGGCCCACGACGCATGCGCAAGGCTGGTCCGAGTGCACGGGCTGGGATCCCGGGTTCCTGGTGGGGGGCTCAGAACCAAGAGCCAGAGAAGGGCTGAGGGACCCCAGGACCCTCCAGCCACCCTGTGTCCCCTGGCGCCCAGGGCCTGGCCAGACTCGCGGGACCCCCCAGCAGCTCTTACCTAGCGTGCAGGGACTCTGGGCCGAAGACAGGAAGGCAGGCTGGGAGGCAGCGGCAGGAAAGTCCCGCTGCCGCCTTCCTGTGTGGGCCCCTCGACTTCCTGAGCTCAGTCATTTACGGAAAGTCAGGCCCGCGAGGGGGTGGAAGGCGACAGGGCCCAGGCGGGGAGGGGCGGCTCGGACAAGGGGTGACAGCAGCGACGGGGCCTCGCCCCACCAGACTCAGGGTACAGCAAGCCCGGGCCTCAGTTTGGCCACCCGCGCACGCGGGGTTATGTCCACTGCGGGACCCGCTTCACACCCAGGGAAGGGAACGAGCTGCCTTTGCTAAGGGCGGAGACCTGGAAGCTGCCCCTGGCACAGGTTAAGCCCTCTCCTGAGATCTTTCTGCAAGGGCTTGGGGTTCCCAAAGCCCAAGCAGCCAGGCATAGTATTGCACACCTGTCATCCCAGCACTCAGGAGGCTGAGGCAGGAGGATCACAGTGAGCTCAAGGCCAGCCTGGGCTACACAGTGAGACCCTGTCTCAAAAAACAAACAAAATCCTCAGCAGACCTGGTGCCTCTCACAAGCAAAGAGGCTGACAAAACAAAGCATCACCCACTAGTTATTTCAGGGACCAGGGCGTCCCCGGAAGCCGGTGTCAGGGACGCGGTGACCCTGAGGCACCAGGGTCAGCTGCCGATGAAATGCGTCCCCACCTCAGCCCCAGGACGCACTCAGCTCCCAGAAAGGTCAGCAAGCTTCTGCCAAGAACTCCTGGGTGTCGCTCTCTGGAGCACCTTCCAGCCTGAGCCACGAGGAGGTGCGGCTGAGACAGAGGTGGGGAGCCGCAGGGAGGGAGGGGACAAGTGCCAACCCCACGGGGAACTTCCCAGGCAAAGCCAGAACCAGTCCAAGAAAAGCAACTGCAGTGATTCAGGTACCAGGGCTGGAAGGCCGCGCCTTCACCTCCAGAAAATCCGTGGCTCTTTTATCTTTCATTTTGAGACAGGATCTTGCTAATTCTCTAAATTGCCCACCCTGGGCTCCAACTTGTGATCTTCCTGCCTCAGCCTCCCAAGTACCTGGGATTAGAGGTGTGCGCCACTGCGCCTGGCTATTTTGGCTTTTCTGTTGTTGTTTTATTTGTTTGGTTTTGGTTTTGGTTTTTCAGACAGGGTCTCCTATGTAGCCCAGGCTGGCCTCGAACTCACAACAATCCTCCTCCCTCAGCCTCTCGATACTGGGATCACAGGCGTGCGTCACCACTTCTGGTGTTACAGTCTGTGCTGTTTCATTTGCTGCCAGGAGGCTCTGTGCTTTATTCTGTGCACAAAGCACATTTCCAGACTAAAGAGAGTTCAGTTGCATCCTGGCATAAACACCTTCAGTTGTTTTGTTTTTGGGTACTGGGGATCGAACTCGGAACCTTGCGCTTGCAAGGCAGGCGGCGGAGCCACTGAGGTACATCCCGGACCCTAAACACCTCCAGTTTTAAGAAGAGCTGTGCCCTCTGCCATCTGCAATGCCGTCAGGAGCTGTCACGGTGTGGAGAGTCCCCAGAGGCCTTGCGCGCTATGGGCAGGACTTTCGGAAGGTGACCAGATGCAGGGGCCCACAGCGGACTTCCCACTAGGGGGCGGGGCCTGGCTGGAAGATGGCGTCGTGGGCGTGGCTGGGGGCGTGGCTGGGTTTACTCCTCCCAGCCGGGCTCCTCCCTCTCTCTGCTGCCCATCTCCAGGGCCTGCCACCATGTTGCTTACTACGCAAGACACACGTCACCTTCTAGTTGTGCAAATATATATGTGAGTGTGAGGGCGTGTGCGAACTGCATAAAGGGGCAATTCTGGGCGGCGGCGTCATGACACGTCGGCCTGAGTGATTAAGAGACACCCAACAACACACAACTGCCAGGCCGGCCGGACGTGGGGCGCACGCCTGTGATCCCAGCACTCGGGAGGCTGAGGCAGGAGGATCGCTGTGAGTTCGAGGCCAGCCTGGGCTACACAACAAGACCCTGCCTCAAAACCAAAAGGAATGAGTCATGGTCTGCGGGGACTTCGGCGTGGGGACTCTGGGAACTCCTCTGGAAGGAGATGAAAGGTATGGTCTGTGCTATGAAGGCGTGATGGTCCCTGCACAGGTGACAGGAAAATCCCATTTTCTAAGTGAGAAAATAGCTGAGGTCCATATGCAAGGAAAAGGATTGCCCCAGGCTGTCTTGAGAAGGAAAAAAATTTTTAACTGATTTTCTATCCTGAACCTGCGGTTTCTATATTTTTTTACCTTTTGTTTTTGTTTGTTTGTTTTTGAGACAAGTTCTCACTGCATAACCCAGGCTGGCCTTGAACTCACGGTGATCCTCCTGCCCCAGCCTCCTTAGTGCTGGGATCACAGGTGTGTGCCACCATGCCCTGCTCTTTATTTTTCTTTGAGATAGGGTCTAAGTTACCCAGGCCAGACTTGAAATCGAAATCTTCCTGCCTCAGCTTCCCAAGTAGCAGGAATTATAGGCTCATACCACTGTACCAGCCACATTATACTCTTACCACCAGAAAAAAAATGGGAGATGGAATACATCTTTTTTAACTCTCCTTTGTAGCAGTAGTGAAAGAAAAAAGTTAAAATATTGCCATGGTTTGTGTGTGTCACCTGAAAACTCCTATGTGGAGACCCAGGGAGCAGATCTGGGCCGAGTGCTTGCCAGGAATGTGCAAGGTCCTAGGTTCAGTCGCCCCGAAAGGAATCAGAACCCAAACTGATGCGCCCAGAGCCGGGCGTGGTGGCGCACGCCTGTAATCCCAGCACTCTGGAGGCTGAGGCAGGAGGATCACTGAGTTTGAGACCAGCCTGGGCTACATAGTGAGTTCCAGGTCAGTCTCAACTACATAGTGAGACCCTGTCTCAAAAAACCAAAAAATTAAATAAATAAAAGTAAAAAATAAAAAGGGCTTGGGTGCAGTTTAGTGTGAAGGCCCTGGGTTCCATCTTCAGTAGTGGAAGAATAGAAAACAGCCCAAAGACTGGAGATCTTTCGCCGCAGAAGTGTGTAAGGTGCCCGGCGGCACAGGAAGAGGTGCGCAGTGTCATTAGTCACGAACCGCGGAGCAGCGCCAGAGCCAGGTGACACTTCACAGCCCCAAGGGCAGCAGTTGTGTCGGGCTCCAGAAAACGAAAAGGAGGAGGGGCTCAGTTTTGCTCCCTCCAGAAATGGAGCCATCCCGGAGTGGCATTCCTACCCTCTTATTCATCTGTCACAGCACCCTTCCTTTCTGTGTGTTTGTCTTACGGCTGTTTTTTATTCCTGTGGAGTTTTGTTTGCTCATTTGTCTTTTGCGATGTGGGGCAAGTCTTCTACCCCTGAGCTGCACCCTGGCTTTTTGTTGTTGTTTTATTTTGAGAGGGGATCTCATGTGGTTGCCCAAGGTCTCAAACTTGAGATCCTCCTGCCTCAGCTTCCCAAGTGCTGGGCCCACCGGTGTGCACCACCACAAGTGGCTGGCAGTGGTCTCTGGAGGGGACGCACACGCTTATGCGTTGGGGAAGGGAGCCGGGAGCCCGTGTGGGCAGAGGAGGGAGGCTGCTGCTACTGCCACTGTCTCGGACTCATTTTTTCTTTGTCAAAGGCATCTTGTGCTAATCATGTTTGAAAGATAGATATTGGCTTTAATAAGGAAGCATCTAACTGCACAGAATGGGAAAATTAATGAGTTATTAGAACCGCTGGCCAAACGTTGACCAGGAAGCAAAAAAAAAAAAAAAAAAAACCCAAAAAACCACCCAGAACAAAGCAGCGAGGCTCAGGAGCCTGCACTGTGATTCCCAGTCCCAGCAGGGAAACTGAGGCACTGGTTGTCTGATCTTGGGAAAGGAGGGGCCGGCTCTGCCTCCACTGCCCCAAAGACAAGGAGAGGAAGCTGGAGCAACAGGGAAAGGGCTGTGTGCATTTTTCTAATTCTGTCATGTTTTTTTTCCATTTCCCCAACCATTGTTCCTGGGTTTTTATTTTGATTTGGTTTTGTTCAGTGATACCGGGGAATGAACCCCCCCCCCCGGAGTACTGAGCTGCACTCCCGGCCCTTTATTTAATTTCTTATTTATTTAAACCAGGGGGTGGTGACACATGCCTGTCATCCCAGCACTCAGGAGGCTGAGGCAGGAGGATCCCGTAGAGTTCAAGGTCAGCCTGGGCTGCACAGTTCAGAGCCAGTCTGAGCTGGATAGAGACCCCATCTCAAAAAGCCAAAACATAAAACTAAATAAATAACAATAATAAATTGCCCAGGCTGCCTCAAACTTGCAACTCTCCTGCCTCAGCCTCCTAAGGAGCTGGCGTCACATGTAGCATGTACCCTCTCGTTTCCTCCCTCATTTTGGCTTGTAGGGTGCTTGGGATGGAACCCAGAAAGTCCTGCGTGCTGAGCAAGTGTGGCCACAGAGCCCCAACCCTAGAGGCTCGTTTTCTTTGGGTTTTTTGTTTGTTTGTTTTTCCGTTTGCTGAGACAGGGCCTGGCGGTGCAGCCCCGACCCTCCGGCTTCGCAGACGCTTCCTTCCGCACCAGTCAGGTTTGGGCCAGGACCCGGGGTGACTCTGTGCGGCCCCTCCCCGAGCTGCGGGCAGCTGAGGCCCGCGCGCCAGGGAACAATCGGACCTCAACCCGCGCGGGCCCCGCATCCGGTCCTCCGCCTGGGTCCCCGGGCTCTTCTGCTCCCCCTGGTGGACACCGGCGGCAGCGCCTTCCGATGGAGTCGCCCCGTGCCTGCCCGACCAGGGAAGGGGTTCTGGCCCCCCAAGAAAACGCCGGAGGTGAAATCCAGAGCCAGAAAATTCTCCCAATTAAAACGGCCATTAAGGAAAATGAAAGCCGGCCTCGACAGGAGCGTGCGGGCTTTCTTAGCTGCATTATTCACAGTAGCTAAAAAGTGGAAGACCCAGATACTGAACACTGAGGAGCAGATAAAGTGTGGTGCATCCAGCTGAGCGCGGTGCTGCATTCCTGTAATCCCAGCACTGGGGAGGCTGAGGCAGGAGGATCTTCACAGGTTCAAGGCCAGCGTGGGCTACATAGCTGCGCGCAGCTCGGGGAGGGGCCGCACAGAGTCACCCCGGGTCCTGGCCCAAAAAGAATATGAATAAACAAATAAAACTAAATAACAGTAGTGACTACCCTAGCCTGCATTGTACAATTTAGTTCTTTGAGATGAGTCTCACTGTTTCCCAGGCTGGCCTCAAACTCCTGGGCTCACGTGAACTTCCTGCTTCAGCCTCCTGAAGTGAGTTGTATCTCACTTAAGTTGTTACTGATTGGGGGCAGGGGCACTGCTGGGGATGGAAACCAGGCTTTGCCGATGCTGGGGGAGCACTCAGCTACTGAGCCACAACCCCAGCTCCGGCTGTTATTAAATTGTTAGGTTTTTTTAGGGCCGGGATTTAGCTCAATGGTTCTGCCAGCTGACTCACAAGCACAAGGTCCCGAGTTCAATCCCCAGTACAGATATATATTTTTTTGATTTTTGGAGTTTGTCTGTTTGCTCGTTTGAGACAGGGCCTCACCATGTAGGCCAGGCTGGCCTCAAACTTGAAATGATTCTCCTGCCTCAGCCTCCAGAGTGCCAGGATGACAGGTGTGCACCTTCATGCCTCACTTTCTAATTGTTTCCTTTGCTCCTAGGAGCTTCCCAGGATTCTTCATGCCTGAGAAAACTGCTCAGCCAGAGGGTGTGGGCTGGATCTGGCTTGTCCTTTGCTTTTTTTTTTCTTTTTTTTTTTTTTTTGTACCGGTGATCCGGGAATCGAACTCGGCACCTTGCGCTTGCAAGGCAGTGGGTGGAAACACTGAGCTAAATCCCTGGCCCAAGCATCCCCTCTTGATTTGAGAGCTTCCTGGGTGGTGGTCACCAAGGTGTCCCAAGACCTACTTCCCAGTGCTCAGGGCTTTCGTATGGAATGAATTGGACAATAATCCTTGCTGCCTGAAGGCTGAGTCTGTTTTCTTAAGACTCTGTCTTATAGCGAAGGGATTTTCAAGGACTGGTTTCCTGGCCTTGAGACTCGTGTCTAAAATGCAGACTGCCAGTAGGGGCTGGTTACCTCTCCATCATGGGGAGTGAAATAGGCTCCGCCCTATGCTTGTTTTTTCTGTCCTGGGGATGGGGCCCTGGTCCGCTGGAGCTCTGGGGCTGGATCCAGTGGATTCTGGGGCCCTGACCTTCCCTGTCCCCGACCCCAAGATCTCTCAGAAAGGAAGCGAGGAAGTGGGGTTTAAATCTCACCTGCCAGGAAACATGAGCGGGACTCCAAGTAACAACAAATAGCATTCCAGCACTTAATAAGGTTTGCAGTGAACATCTCTGGGAGGAAAAAACATTTTTATTCCCAATGGAAACTCTTAGGCCAGGGATGGCGAATGTTTTAGAGACCAGAGCCCAAACTGCAACCCAACACCCACTTCCTTATCGCAGACTGAACCTAACACTGAGGTTTTAGTTTAGCAAAAACAACTCACACAAGCTGGGTGCGGTGGTGCACGCCTGTAATCCCAGCACTCAGGAGGCTGAGGCAGGAGGATCTCTGTGAGTTCGACACCAGCCTGGGCTACACAGTGAGTTCCAGGCCAGTCCAACTACATAGTGAGACCCTCTCTCAAAAAAAAAAAAAAAAAAAAAAAAAAAAAAAAAAAAAAACTCACACATCAGCAGCATCTTTTGTCTTAAAGGGAAAACACAACAACAGATTTTTCAATGACACAAACAGCTTTTTATTGAAAGGTTAAAGTGTGCGTTTGGAGTGCTTCTGCACAATTCGCGTGATCTCTGCGGCTGTGTGCACGCTGATAATTTGTCAAACCTGGGCTCACGGGTCCTTGGTTTGACAGTCTGTTTCTTACATTGGATCGGATACACAGGAGGCCCCGACGTACGAACAAGTTCCACTTCAGAAGGACGCTCACCGGCCGCACTGGCTGGCATCCCCGGCACGGTAAGTCTCAGGCTCCTTGGGCACAAACACAATGTCTGTGGCTCTGTGCTTCCCAGCGGCCCCCGCCATGTCACCGCCGCTGGCTTGTCCTCGCGAGCAGACACCGCCGTGACAGTGCCCGGCAGACGCACAACTTACTTCACCGACTTGTCCGCATCTGGGGTGTCTATAATGTGAGGTCCGCTCGTATCCGTGAAAGTTCGCGGCTTGAATGTTCGGAGGTCGGCGACTTACAGTAACTCAAAGCCGAAAACAGCTGCTCACAGGCCTGCGATGATCCAAACAAAGTCAGCAAAGCAATCCCGAGTGCTTTCATGGACTTAAAATGCTTCGGCAGAGAGTTCCACACTTTGAGAATCTCATTTTCCGAACTGCTCACCGAGCCGCCCTCTCTCCTCCCTTCACACTCCATCTTCTCTGTCTTCTCAAGGGTGGCACGCAGGTCGCAGAATTTATTTGTCCACATAGAGCTTTCTTGAAATTCCAACAGCTCCATTTCCAGATTCCCACAATCTAGCCAGTGTAAGCAGGAAAGATCGAGTCCTTCAAATCTGGCTTTATCTGGCGAAGTAAGAAAGCACAGGGCTGTCTCCATCTTACGGAACTGCAGAAACCGGTCACTGAACGTCTCCTTTGCAGCGGCTACGATGCTAGAAAATTCCTTGCAGCGCTCCTGAAGGCTTGTAGGATCGCCTGCAAAGGCAGGATGTTCTAAATGCATTTTTAGGCTTGGGAAGTATTTCAGCTGCCCGCTTTCCAGATCTCTTTCAAACACCTGCAGTTTTCTCTCAAATGTTTTGATATCGCAAAACATCCTTTCTGCCGTCTTCCCTACACCTTGCAGCTTTCGGTTCAGTACACTGAAGTGCAGGGTCCAGTCTGCGAAAAACACGAGGCTGCTCAGCCAGGCCCCATCAGCGAGCTGTGGGTGGTCCTGCCCGTTTTCATCCATAAACAGCCTCACTTCATCCAAGCAGGCTACAAATCTCTGCAGCACCCGGCCCCGGCTCAGCCATCGGATGCTTTCGTACATATGCAAAGCACCGTACTGAGCCTGGACCTCGTCAAGCAGGGCTTGAAACTGTGGACAATGAGGAGCGTCAGCAATGATGTAATTCACCATTTTTGTGACGTCTTTGAGGATGCCGTCTAATGTTCTGCTGCTTCCCCTGGTGCAGAGAGCTTCTTGATGTATAATACAAGGAAAGTGAATGACGGGATGTTTTGCTTCTTTAACAAAGAGCTGCAGGAAACCAGACGTGGCCCCCACCACGCAAGGGGCCCCATCACTCGTAACTGAAACCACTTTTTCTGGTCTTATGTCATGCGACAAAAAAGCCTCCATCACAGCGTCGTAGATGTCCACCCCTCGTGTTCTTCCAGGCAGGGACACGAGGTTCACCAGCTCTTGTCGCATGGTGTCACCAACGGCGTAGCGCAAAATCACTGCTAGCCTCACGTGGTCACTTCTATCTGTGCCTTTGCACAAGCACACGGAGTAACAGGCCGCCTTCTGCAAGTGAGTGGTGCGCTGCTGACCAGCATCACTTGCCGCGCACACGATCTGATCGTTAACAGTACTTCTGCTCAGGGGCATCTCAGAGATCCGTTGCATAATTTTATCCTTGTTTGGGAAATCATGAAAAAGGGAATCACTCCCAGACAACATGGCCATTTTGATAAAATCCCCGTCGGCGAGGGGTTTGCCGTGTTTCGCTATGCACAGTGAAATTTGAAAGCTGGCAGCGGTCAGATACTGGGAATGATATTTCCTCAGTTTCCCTTCAAGAAACTCTTTCCTTTCAGCTTCGCCAAGCTTGGCAACACTTCTGTGGTTGGTGTCAAAGTGCCGCCTGACACTTGATGTGCGACACACAACGCTCACACTACACAGAATACATAACGCTTTCCCATGACGCTCTATCACCCCAAATGACTCTGTCCAGGCCTCTTGGAACGATCTTCCGCTATCTGTTTTCAGTTTTGCTTTTTTTGGTGTAGACATTTTGCGGGGGGCTCAAGGCTTGGAGTCTATAAAAACACAATTCTTTTTAAGTGAAGCACCCAATGCAAATCATCCCTATACCAAAAATAGCTCACACCATCCGTTAACGCTAAAGAACTGGATATCGGTCCCGGATCAACAATCTAGAACAGTGATTCTCGGCTGCGGTTGCCCTTGAATTTGCTCACCACCACCGCAAGGGGACGATGTTCCACCGGCCACCAGCTTTTGGCCCGCTCTGAAAAAGGCCTCTGAATGCATCTGCTACCTTGCAGAGGCTTCCGCTAAAATCACAACTAGCCCAAGCAAATATATATCCTTGCTCTTGTTTTCCTAAATTCTTCACAAATAACTAAATATGATGCCACAGATCCAAATAGTCTAGGGGGATCAGCAAACATTAAAAGAATCTTAAGTCTCTAGAACATCTCGTTGATAAGTCTTAAGACATTAAATTTCAATTTTCCATAAGAGAAGTCAAAACTACAATCTTGCATGAATAAAAACAAATGTATGAAAACTCACAGCCAGTCCAAGCAAATACACACACACACACACATGATGCCACAGATCCAAATAGTCTAGGGGGATCAGCAAACATTAAAAGAATCTTAAGTCTCTAGAACATCTCGTTGATAAGTCTTAAGACATTAAATTTCAATTTTCCATAAGAGAAGTCAAAACTACAATCTTGCATGAATAAAAACAAATGTATGAAAACTCACAGCCAGTCCAAGCAAATACACACACACACACACACAACATCGCCCGGCGAGGCTACTCCCGAGCATGCGCATATCCCCAAGAAGCACTGTTACCTGCTGTTCCGCCGCTGGGAACGCTAGAGCGAGTGGGGTCACATGCGGGCAGAGCAGGCTCTGTTTGCCTGCTGCGGCACTCGTGCCATAGGTTCGCCACCAGTCTTAGGTACATGGCTTGAGACCTCTTTGATACATCTACAGGGAAGAAGAGGCCTGGGGTGGGAATTAAACAGGAAATAGAAACATGGCCCGCCAATGCCACCACTCCCAGAGTGCCATGCGTTCCCACGCGTCCTTAGGGTCGCGGTGGACGGAGCCGACCTCCCTGCGCTGCCTCCTGGGAAATGTAGTTTGGCTGCAGAGAGGTGGGGCTGTGAAGTCTCGGCGAGCCGGAGCCAATGAAAAAGCCGACCTCTTTGAGCACAGGGCCAAGAAGCCAATAGACTCGCGAAGCCCAGAGGGAGGGACTTCCGGCAGTGAGTCGTGGTGAGCGTCTGCGCTCAGAAAAGCACTTCCTTTTTGTGGGTGGCTGCAAGCGAGGCGGTAGCGCCATGAAGGCTTCGGGCACAGTAAGTCCCTCGCGGCGTGTCTGTGGCCCGGGCGGGGCAGCGCGGACCCCGTCGGTAGCCCCGGGGAAGCGCTGCGTGCCGGGTGAGTGGTGGTGCGGCCCTCTGGGTCGCAGGGCCTGGCGTGGAGCGATCGTGGGGCCTAAAGGGCCGGGTCTGCTTCCCAGTGCGGGGCACGGGAGGCACAGTTCGTAGTGCTGTGCCCTCTAACCTGGTCGAGCCATTGGGCCTCAGTTTCCCTTGTAAAGTAAGTGGGAAAGGATGTGGCATTGCTAGGGAGACAAGAAAATTACAAAACTCCAGCTGGAGCTGGGGGCGCTAGGTTCCCTGTGCTGGCCTTAAAGGCAGGCGGCGGGGGAGTTGGGGGGAGCTAGGCCGGTGGGTCGTGTGCAGAGCAGGAAGGACTTCGCGGTTATTTATGATGGTGTTAGTGAAAAGCAGGGGTTATTGGGCCCGGAATTTAGCTCAGAGGCACCGCACCTGCCTCGCATACACAAAATCCTAAGTTCGATCCCCAGGGTCGGGGGGGGGGTGGGGTGGGGTGGGGGTCAGGGATTATTCACAAAGGTGGCTTTTGTCGACGTATCACGGGCGCTGGGACTTGACAGAAGGTCACACCTTCACCCGCACTTTTTTTTTTAAGTAAAGATTGACACTAAGAAGTTAACAGTGAACTACCTCACCGGCTGTTTTTCACTTTGAGGCCGGTTTTCCATTAGTTACCCAGGCTGGAATTAAACTTGTGGTAATTTTCTATCCTGTGCCTCCCAGGGTGCTGGGATTACAGGCACGCACTGCATGGGCAACCCCAGTCCTGGTTTGTTTTTTGATGTTATTTGTTTGTTTGTTTCTTTGGTTCTTTGAGACAGGGTCTCACTATGTAGTTGAGACTGACCTGGAACTCGCTATATAGCCCAGGCTGGTCTCGAACTCACAGCGATCCTCCTGCCTCAGCCTTCCGACTACTGGAATGACAGGCATGTGCCACCATACCCAGCTTCTAGACCTTTATTTTGTGAAGGATCCTCTGAAATTGCCTTGATTTTCCTTGAATTTGCCATCCTCTTGCCTTGGCCTCAGTCTGCCAAGATCACGGGTGTGTGCCACCGGACTGGACACCTTTGCACCTGCCGCTGGGAATGCTGGGGTGGCTTTGGGCCCACAGCTCAGCACAGACCTGGCTCTGCCAGAGGTGCGCTGTGTTGTGAGCCACGAGGTGGTGGGGATACTTTGCAGAGTGCCTCAGGGTGACTGGGGGCAGAGGAAGCTGCTGGCCTGGCCTCTGTTGCCTGCTGGGGGCAGAGGGAACTTTCCTGCCTGCCGCTGGGGCTCACTCGGGCCCTCATCCTGGGTCCTGGGTCCAGAGTCACCTGGGCTTGGCTCGCAGCCCACTCAGCCTTCCCCTTTCAGCTTCGTGAATACAAGGTGGTGGGGCGCTGCCTGCCCACCCCGAAGTGCCACACACCGCCCCTCTACCGCATGCGCATCTTCGCGCCCAACCACGTCGTCGCCAAGTCCCGTTTCTGGTACTTCGTGTCCCAGCTGAAGAAGATGAAGAAGTCCTCGGGGGAGATCGTCTACTGCGGGCAGGTGGGGCGGGCATGCCGTGGGATAGCGGGGGCTTGGAGCTGTGTCCCCCTCCGGGGGGCCCGGGGGCGGCTGCCCAGCGTCCCCACCTGCTGTGCTCCCTCACCAGGTGTTTGAGAAGTCCCCGCTGCGGGTGAAGAACTTCGGCATCTGGCTGCGCTACGATTCCCGCAGCGGCACCCACAACATGTACCGCGAGTACCGCGACCTGACCACGGCAGGCGCCGTGACCCAGTGCTGTGAGTGGGGGCCGGGGGGGGCCAGTTTCGGGGCTCCGCCTGAGCACGGGCCAGCCTCCCTTCCACTTGCACCTCAACCCAAGAATCGCCGCTTCTTGTAGTGGCGGTTTAAACAGGGGTGCACACAGCAAGTGGACCTCGTCGCCTTTGGGGGGCTGTGGCTGTGCCTGTCAAAGTGAATTTGGAGGTTCTACACCCCATGCAGCCAGGGACGACGAACCCCAAGTCAGGGTCACAGCAGCAGCTGCCAGGCCTGAGCGCCATCTCCCCGCTGTGTCCCCTGCAGACCGGGATATGGGCGCCCGGCACCGCGCCCGTGCCCACTCCATCCAGATCATGAAGGTGGAGGAGATCCCGGCCAGCAAGTGCCGCCGGCCGGCCGTCAAGCAGTTCCATGTGAGTGCCTGGCTCCCCTCGGTGCCTGACGCAGGAGCCCTGGGGGGCGGCGGGTGGCCACGCCTGGGCGAGCCCCGGAGTATGCTGAGGGCCCTCACCCCTCTCTCTGCCCCCACAGGACTCCAAGATCAAGTTCCCACTGCCCCACCGGGTCCTGCGCCGCCAGCACAAGCCCCGCTTCACCACCAAGAGGCCCAACACCTTCTTCTAGGGTGGCCGCTGTTCTGCCAATAAACTCCCTGCGTCCGCACTCCGCCCATGTTTTCTGTCACAACTCGCGGAGCACAGCAGGGGGCCTGAGGCTTCCAGTCCTGTGCCAGCCCAGGACCCAGAGGGCTCGCAGCCTTATCCCCGAAGGACCCCTTCGGGTTGGGACCCAGGCCACTGCACGGCTGCCCTAATCTGCCTAAGGAGCTTAGGGTCTCCAGGAAACCAGAGCATTCCAGGCCGGGCTGGCATCCCACCCGGAGCGACTCCATCAGCCCTGTCCCGGCTGTGCTTGGGCACAGGGTCCCCGTAAAGTGTGTGGGTAGGAAGGAGACTCGCAGTTCGGTGTCTGCAGGGGCCCCCGAGGCTGGAGACAGTGCCTGCTTCATCATCTCCCGCGCGGCCTGGCCCCGCCTCCAGCCCCCCACTCTCACCAGGGCTCAGTTGCCCTGGGCTGCAGCTAACATCTGTGCCCTTCCCATCTGCCAGGCTGGACTCGCCACCGCTTCTGCAATCCTGGACTTTTTCTACCTATTGTGTAAGGTCTGAATTCCACCCTGGCTCCACAGAAAGATTTCTGCCAGTTTCAGACAAGACCGGGTGCATTCTGGGCGGCATGGTCATAGGCTGCTGCGGTTTCATTAACCTTGTGGGTTTAGGCACAAATACATAGTCCTGTGTAGCACTTCTTCATTGTAATGGGAGCCCCATAATTAGATGCCCAGGAAAGATATTTCCCAGCCAACTTTTCAGTCAGGCTGGTCATGTGATACTAGTAGTGATAGGTGCCTGTATGGAGTATGGGTGCAATGGCCAGTGCTCTAGCAGCCATCTTGGGCCATGAAGGTACACTAGTTAACCAAAGGACAGAGACTGCGTATCTGACCCTGTGAGGTTCCCCACCTTTGCGCCCCCCCCCCAAGCTTGAATCTTTAAAGACTAGGACATGGAGCTGTAACGCACAGCCAGTCAGATGTGACTGAGTAGGTGTGGTGCTAGGGAGAGTCCCTGCCACCTTGCATGAGTGTGGCCATGTGGGGGCCCAGGGTCCTAGTACCAGTGAGCAGGTGGGAACCTCCAAGGCCAACAATCGGGCCAGTCTGGAGCGGACCTTGAGCTGAGGACCAGCAAGGTCCTCTGGCCCCTAACTTGCCCTCTGTACCTAGAGGAGGTCAGGTGTGGGGCTTCTGTTCCCAGTGGGGTGAAGGCTGTACGCAGCCAAGGTGCTCCTGCCTCAGCCAGCTGTTGGGGTTACAGGTGTGCACTGTCACTCCTGAGGTCCGTATTGGAAGTGGGGGGACAAGATGCAGACCCTGGGCCATCCTCAGGCCAGGGAAGTCGCCTTTTGGAGGTGTGGGTACAGGGGCTGTGTGGGGGACCCCAACCGGATGCTCCCAGGATCCCTTCCATCACCCTCCAGTCACACGGCAGACCCTGGGGCTAAGCACAGGCTGGGCTGAGGTCAAGGCACAGCAAGGGGGAGGAGGCCAGGAGGGCAGCGGGGAGACTCCAGGGTGCCCCTAGGTCCCCAGGCACGGGTGGAGGCAGGCCACAGTCTGTCAGCAAAGTGGCTGCCTGCCTCCCGAGTTCCAGGCAGAGTTCCAGACCAACGGGCTCCCAGCCTTGGCTGCGGCCTTTTCTGAAGTTCTTCAGGTCCCTTGCCGCTCCCCAAGCTTCCAACAGCTCCCCAGCACCCTCAAAACCAGATCCATGCCTCTCCCGGAGGCTGGGAGAGCCTCTGGCCACCCGTAGCTCATCCTGGCACCTTCGCACTGGAGTTTCCTGCCCCCAAGGCCCCTTCCCTCAGTTCATTTTTTGTTTGGGTTTGGTTTCTTGAGATGGCCTTAACGTGTAGCGCCGGCTGGCCTCAAACTCGCAGCGATCCTCCTGCCTCAGCCTCCCAGGTGCTGGGATGACAGGCGTGCGCCATCACGCCGGCTCCTGAGCTCTTCTCCATCTGCAGGTGTCCACTCACGTAGGAAGTCCCGTCCCGGGGACCCACAGAAAACCGCCCGCCCCCACCAGGCCGCTGCCCCCAAAAGCGGCTGGCTCAGGCCCACAGGCCTCGAGACCTGTCCCCAGC